GGATGGATGATGGATGGATGGATGGATGATGGATGGATGGATGATGGATGGATGATGAATGATGGATTGTTTTCCTCTTCCTGTTATTTCTCCATTGTTGCTGTTTCCCATCAGCTGCTGTCTAATGTTCAGTACTTCCTGTTGGATCGCAGGTTTCTGAACAGAAAAGTTCTAACGAGGCTCAGAACCGTTTTCATCCTCCAAAGCAGAACCAGAGGAGGAAGGTTTGGGTTTATATAATCAGAGTAAAGATGACTCATGTTTCCAGAAATAGAGGGGAGCACCCACGCAGCACAGCGAGGTGTTCAGGGACCGTCCGACCACAGAAGCACTCAGCCCTGACTCAAAGGTTCAGAGTCCAAACCAGAGACTGGATCAAACAGCAGAGAGAGAACAGAAAAAGGTTTTAATGTTCTGCTCATTTAGACCAGAAGATTCTAGAAGCTCCAGAATCAGGAGGAAAAACACAGAGCTTCAGTCTGAGGTCCAAACAGGAAGGAGGTGGTTCCTGTTTCATCATGTTTGGGCTGAAACCAAAGCAAACAGCAAACAAACGGATCCAAAGTCCCCGTCCGTGTCTGGGTGTTAGAACCCGGCAGAAACAGGTCTGAGGAGGGAGAGGAGACCAACCATCAGGGAGGGTGGGTGTCCTGCAGACGATCACCTCAGAGCTGCAACTGGACCGGGTCAGAAGGTCATCTCCAAACCACCTGAACGTCCATCAGAGGACAGCGTCAGAAACCAGCTCAACCTCACACTCTACAGGTCAAAGGTCAAAGGTCAGAACAGCAGCAGAACTGGAACCGGATGAAGGACAGCGTGTTGGACCATGATGTCCACTGTTGACCACCAGTTCTGGGGTTCTGTATGGGTCCATCAGCCCAACAGAACCAAAAACCCGACCTGAACTCCAAACAGAACATCCAGAGAGAAGACAGGATGTGCTGGAATGGCCTAGTCAAAGCCCAGCTAATGTTCTGGGCCACGCCATCCTGGTTCTGTGTGAACGGGTCAGTTTGATTGGTTTGATCCTGTCTCCAGCAGAGAGAGGCAGCAAAGACAAACAGTGGAGACGTGTCCTCAGGGGACGCTGGCGCCATGCTCACAGGGATGCTTTGATCCTCCTCCTCTTCCTGACTTTGCTCTTTAGCATCAGAGGACACATCTCGTCCTCCTCGGAACCAGGAATGGAGCCAGCGGTCCGGAACCAGGCAGAACCTGGGATACTGGGAAAGATGGCGGCCTAGTGGTTAGGGCATAGAGCTTGGAATCCAGAGGTTCTGAGTTCGAGTCCTACTCCCACAGACTGTCACTCTGGGTCCCTGAGCAAGCCCCTTAACCCCACAGTGCTCCTTGGGCGCCGCACAATGGCACAATGGAAAAAAAAGGTTGTGATGACGCCATAGCAACCTGCAGCGGAGGCTGAAGATCCAACGGATCCCATCAGGTCCAAACGAGTCTGGCTGGCTGATCCAGAACAGAACCACAGACTCACCAAACAGGACGGATCTGATCCATAAGGCAACTATCAGGTTCTGTGTTGCTGAGCTGCTTTCAGCTGTTTCCATGACGACGATGCTATTAAAGCCAACATCCTTTCATCTCAGAGCTCCTCAGCAGAAGCAGTGATGGAGGAGACAGCAGGAGGTCCAGAACCTTCCAGCCTCCATCAGAGACACTCGGTTCAACTTTTCTAAGAAACTTAAAACAAAAACTTCCAACTGAAAACTTCTAAATGATGAAAAATAAATAAAAGTGAGACTTTCAGGAGCAGAGAAACCAGGAGGCAAACTGTAGGTTCAGGATGATGATGATGATGATGAAGAGGACTGTTACATAAAACCATCCTCCTCTCTTTAATCCCCCTCCCGCTCACTTTGAAGCAGCTTCTTCCATAATTTCCCATCATCATCATCATCATCATCATCATCATCATCATCAGAACCACCTGCAGCGGGAGGAGGAAGAAGCTCCTCCCGCTGCAGAGCTCCACAGCCCGGCGTGGCAGCGCGCCGGCTGTCCGGGACAAGGTCGATCATAGCCGGGGAGGGACAGAGGCAGAGGCGGCCCTCCCTGCTGCTGCTGATAACCCCCCCTCCCACCGCAGGGTTCAGCTCTCTATAAACTGTCGGTCATTACTCCGTTACTCCCGCAGATTCACGCAGAGTCACGCACACTGACAGAAGGAGTCTCACCTGTTTGTGTCGATGTGGTCAGAATCATCCAGCAGCTCCAATGCAGAGAAGAGGAGGAGGAGGCTGCTGCCGCTGCTGCTTCACTCCCACATATACTGGACAGGCACGTGCGCATGCATGAGATAACAACGCCCCTCCCACTCTCTCGCTCTCTCCCTCCCCCCTCTCTCTCTCCCTCCCTCTCTCTCCCTCTCTCTCTCACCCTCCCTCTCTGCACTTCTCATGATTATTATTAATATAAAAATGAACTCATGATTTTATTTTCTTCTTGTTAATCTGATCTAAAGCAGTAAAATGCTCTGCTGACTCCGTCCCTTTAACCTTTTTATCTTCTGATCCTCTTTGGACATTCTGTCTCACCATGAGCCCCCCCTCATTTAAAATTACTGATGATTATCTAAAAGTGGAAAATACAAACATTGATTATAAAATAAAAAGGACTTTAATCTTTTAACCTGATAATTTAATTCTGACTCAGAATAAAATGCCTCAGAAATTCTGAGGCATTTTATTCTTTCCATCTGAAATAAATAAAAACACATAAGTGTGTTGCCTGGAAGTTAGTAAGGAACTGAAATAAATACAAAACAAAAATCGTATTTTATTTTATGTTAATTATATTTTATTCATTCACTCATTAAAATTTTAAACCTGTATTTATAAAACAGGAGCTCCTCGGAGTAACTCCCTTGTAATCACATTTAAACTGGATGATTTAGGGACAAAATTATAGTCAGACTGATATAATTATTTATATTTGTTATTTGGTTTACACCTGAGCTGCTCTGATAGTTCAGAGTGAAAACTGGCTGATCCCTGGGTGTTCCCTCCATCCAGGGTGTTCCCTCCATCCAGGGTGTTCCCTCCATCCAGGCTGTTCCCTCCATCCAGGCTGTTCCCTTCATCCAGGCTGTTCCCTTCATCCAGGCTGTTCCCTCCATCCAGGCTGTTCCCTTCATCCAGGGTGTTCCCTCCATCCAGGCTGTTCCCTCCATCCAGGCTGTTCCCTTCATCCAGGCTGTTCCCTCCATCCAGGCTGTTCCCTTCATCCAGGCTGTTCCCTCCATCCAGGCTGTTCCCTCCATCCAGGCTGTTCCCTTCATCCAGGCTGTTCCCTCCATCCAGGCTGTTCCCTCCATCCAGGCTGTTCCCTCCATCCAGGCTGTTCCCTTCATCCAGGCTGTTCCCTCCATCCAGGGTGTTCCCTCCATCCAGGCTGTTCCCTCCATCCAGGGTGTTCCCTCCATCCAGGCTGTTCCCTCCATCCAGGCTGTTCCCTTCATCCAGGCTGTTCCCTCCATCCAGGCTGTTCCCTTCATCCAGGCTGTTCCCTCCATCCAGGCTGTTCCCTCCATCCAGGCTGTTCCCTCCATCCAGGGTGTTCCCTTCATCCAGGCTGTTCCCTCCATCCAGGCTGTTCCCTTCATCCAGGCTGTTCCCTCCATCCAGGCTGTTCCCTTCATCCAGGCTGTTCCCTCCATCCAGGCTGTTCCCTCCATCCAGGGTGTTCCCTCCATCCAGGCTGTTCCCTCCATCCAGGCTGTTCCCTCCCAGCCTGTGTTTTATGGATCTAGAGTCAAGGACCAACAGGAAGTGGTTCTGACTGGGTTTTTAACTTTCAGTCTGATCCAGCTGAAGATCTTTGATCTCAGACCCAAAGATTTGTTCTTATTCTGGTGAAGGTTCTGAGTCATCAAGGTCAAAGTCATTCTAAAAAAAGAAAATGGAAAAACAATCCACTGGACTCTGTTTTCCAAGTTTGGAGACGTTTCTCTTCCATCCAGGAAGCTTTTTCAATTCAAAATGTCAGAAATAGCGTTGAGTTCCAGGTTTTATCCAGCAGCCAAATAAAGCCTTGGTTTTGTTTAGAAAACATGCAAATTGAAACGGACGAAAGGCTCCGACCCCCTTTTTAACCCAGGAATAAGTGGCAGTGGGAACAGCTCACTGACGCGTATGCCCAGGTCAAACGACTCGGACAGTGCGACCCACGTTAAAATCGCCTCGGCTCTGATCGGCATGATGTGGGAACACCAGAGCCGTGTCGACCCTCCAAATTACATGACACCATTGAATGCAACGTACAGACATCAACACACGGCGCCAGTCGCTTCTGATCTAACCAGCAGAAACAACTGTGCTTCCATTGGATCCACTGGTGAGAGGGATTCAGACAGATAATAGAGAGAAACCATAAGGCACACTGGCTATGCCCTGGCTTCCTTCCACGTTGCTCTTCGTTGTTTACTTTCCTGATTCTTGTCGCACTGATGACATCATCAACCCTAACCCAGCATGATGTCACCAGACATGCAGCAGTGGGGGGACAGAGGTCACACAGCTGCCAGTGAGGGTCGGCCAGAGGCATAAGCCAACTCAGCGGCAGCGGGGACCCAAAAACAGTTGATCTATTGGCCAATTTAATTCAATCTGGTTTATTTCTATAGTGCCGATTCACAACACATGTCATCTCAAGGCACTTTACGGTTCACCAGATCATCCAGTTAGATTGATTCAAAGTTTTCTTTTTCTTTTTTTTCTTTTTTTAAGGGAGGAATACCAAGAAAATGTTAAAAAAAATAATATACCAACCACAAACTTTGGTTTAAGAAAGACAGAATTCCAAATCCTGGTTTGGTTAAAGGTTCTGATTAGAAAGCAGATTCTCTCTGCTTCCTTTCTTCAGTCAGCAGCTCATCAGCCTGAGGCGTCCTGAATGTTTCCAGGTTCCTCTCAAAGCAGAGCAGAACCTGAAGCAGGAGAAAAGAGACAGTTCCCTGCTGACCTGCTGCTCTGAATGAAGCGGCTCTTCACTCCCATTAAGGTCAGACACACATGATGAATCTGCTTTGTTAGGCTCAGCCTGACGCCTCTGGCAGAAACCAGAACTATTTCAGCAGAGAGCTGGAGAAAGAGAGCTGCACCGGTTCAATTCCACTCTGTTTATTTCTCAACTGTAAAAAGCAAACATTTAGTTGTGATGTTCTACCATGAAGCTGAGAAAACCTTTGTCTTAATAATCAAAACTTAGATTTGGAAACTGATTTATTGGAATCTGGCCTTTCTGTTCTTTATATTTAATCCAAACAATTTGTATTTTGTAAAAATGAAGCCATTTTTTTCCCTCCCTCCTTCCTGGTTCTGGTCTAGGGTCAGAAAACCGGGTCTGTCAAGGGTTCCAGGTGAAGACCCTGATGGCGGTCTGAGCCGCCCGCCTGATATCCTGGTCCTGGTCTACGCTCCTCCTTTCCAGCAGGGGGAGCTGGTCTTGCAGGAGGCGGCGACCTTCTGGAGCTTCAGCCAGAGCAGTCAGTGCTCTCAGACAGTAGAGGATCAGAGCCTTCCTCCTCTTCCTCTGCTCCTCCTCCTCCTCCTCGGCCAGCAGGTTCAGGAGGATGGGGACGGCATTCAGCTCCAGACTCAGACGTTTACCTGCAGGGGGAGGGGCTTGAGTGAGACTGACAGGTCACATGATTGAGAAGGAAAGCTCTCAAACGTTTTCCTGTTATCATTACAAACCAAAGTGGTTTCCATAGAGACAGAACCACTACATTAACAAGAACCTGGGTAGCCCCGCCCCCTCCACTTTGGAACCCAAAATAAAATCTGATGCAGACGTTTTCCACCCAGTCTGATGGAACCTGATTCCTTTTTTATTTAGAGGTGTAGGATTGGTATTACTCTGATTGTCCTGATCTCTGTAGTTCTGCTGCTATAGCCTTACGCTGCTGGAGGACTTGATGTCCTCCCTCTTCTCTCACAGGTCGCAGCACATTGAGCCTGGTTCTGCTGAAGGTTTCTTTCTGTTAAAGTCGTAGGAAAGCGGCTGTTCCAACGGTTGCGTTTCCGAATTCTCCCGAGTGGTGCCCGACTTTACACGAGTGAATAAAGTGAATGTGATTGGTCGATTATCAAGGGGGCGGGATTGTTGTAGCGGAAGGTTCAAGAGCAGTTTGGTTGTAGCCGGTTTGTGGGAAGCATCTTGCTAACCAGTTAGCAACTTAGTGCTAGCAGGTTCCCAATGGGAAATTCCATTGGGACCAAGTAGCACTAAATTGGTGACTTAGAAACGACGCTGTCAAGGAACGCTATGGACAGCGGAAACATGCAAGAGGAGGAGAGTTTAGTGTCGGAGGTCGTGGATGAGTCTCCTCCGTCATCCATTTTTTATTTAGAGGAGGAAAGCGGGGACGAAGATGTTGTGGAAGAGGACGCCAGGGCGGCAGAAGCTTAGTTTGGTGTAGAAGGCTTCCAGCCGTCCATGTTTGAGCCCTTGCCTCGCAACGCTGCCAGTTCTGTTAGCTCTACGCCTGCCGAAGACACAGACGTCCATCCCCGTGAACACTGGGACGCAACTCAATGGGAAAGGAAAGGATTCTGGTTTCAACCGTTGCGTATATTAGCTGCGACACATGAATCTAGATGCTATGACCGAAAAAATTTGATTGACAGATGACCGTTGATATATGATTGGCCGAATTTAGGTGTTCAGGCTGACGTAGAACTAACTGGCCTGCAGAAGATAACGAAAAAAAACAGATTTTAAGACAGAATTTTTTTTTTTATAGAAATATTCTAACTATTTGGACAATATGGTCTGACAAAGAATACATTCATATACCATGCCTGAATAATTTGACATTTAAAGATGACTTCCCTAAAACTTTAAAGGGCAGTTTTTCTCCCCTCTGTCACCACATGCATGCTCAGCATAAGCATATGGGCAATTTGCTGAGTTAGATAGAAATCTTTTGGACAATTGGAGGAACAAACTGAACCTAAAAGCATAATTTAATCATCATGGGATGTTTGGAAGTAAATCTGATCCTGTTTGACCCGATTGTTCTTGTAGTTTGCAGATGAAAGGTTCTGAACCAATGAAGACTTGAGGATTTATCTCGATGGAACCAAACAGGATGAGGGACCTGTGGTGATGATGACGGTGTTCATGATGACCCCTGCGGCGTTGGTCTGGACCTCCACGTCTCCGTCCTGCAGCAGATCCATCAGAACAGGAAGGAGCTGCTCTTCACAGACCTGCCGCTTCCCGTCCTCAGGAACACTGAAACCAGAGGGAGACCATAACACACACACACACACCAACACACACTGCTGTTAAGCCCCGCCCCCTGCTGTACCTAAGCGCTATCAGAACCGCCGCTGCCTCCCTGCGGACGTCCCGGGAGCAGTGGGACAGTCTTTGACCCATCAGAGGAATGCCGCCTGATACCAGAGTAGGCCGAGGGTCCAGCCTGGAGCAGGAGGTGAGGGTGGAGAGGAGCAGCACCTCCTCCTCCTCCTCCTCCTGCTGCTGCATCTCTCTGAGCTTCAGCATCAGCTTAGGAACCAGCTTCAGGAAAGCATCAGCTCCTGCAGAGGATGAAGGGACAGATGGACATGTCCTCTCAGCTCCAGGCAGTGATCAGAAGCTCCTGCTGAGTTTACCTGCAGGCAGCTGAGCGAGGCCGTTCAGAACCAGGTGGACGTTCCTCCTGCAGGAGGACGAGGGGTCGTCCAGGAGGTCAGAGAGAGAAGGGAGCAGAGAGGAGGAGAGGAGAGCCAGCCTGCAGGAGCAAACATCTCTGTTAGGATGAGGAATAAAGCTGCAGTCAGTTACAGCCAATAAAAGCAGACATAAAATAAACCATCAGCCTGGTTTGACTCTGATGATTAGAAATGAAAGAAGCCGGCTGCCCCCTGCTGGTGAACTCAGGGTACAGCAACAAGCTGAAGAAAAGCCCTTCTGATTTGGAAGCAGCTGTCATTTCTAACTGTCAGAGCTGTTACATCATCTTCTCCACATTTTCTCTTTTTATGTGGTTCTTTTAATTCATCTGTTAAAAATTTTCAGTATCTTTATTTATATTTAAATCTTTCTCTTCTTTGGTGAAGCAGATTTCTGACGGTTTTAAAACTATTCCCTGTCAGACTTGAGTTGCTTTTGTTTTTCTAAAATGTTTTTTCTGAGATGGACTGAAAATAAAAATGGTTCTTAGAAATCGTAAGGGTCAGTGACCCCGGATCGATAGATCCAGCAGATGGTTGAAGGTTTCGATTGATAGATGGTGCAATGGACCCGTGACCTCTGACCCCGGAGGGGTTCTGATGGAGGAGCTACCTGCCGATGCTGTGGTTCGTCACCAGATGAATCAGCTCGCAGGTCTTTGCTCTCACTGATGGATCCTCGTCCTTCAGCACAACATGCAGGTCCTTGAAGAAACCTGCAGGAGAAACATGTCGGCCTTCTTTCCTGATGTGAAAACAGTTCCTGCGTGGAACTGAAAGTTTACATCTGTTCATTAACCATCAAGTGTAAAGGCAGACCTTCCTCTGTTAGGAGATCATCTGGATATAATATGGAAACTGTCTGATGCAGTAAGATGACTTAGACAAGAAAGATCCCAAACTGAAAACTGATAATAAAAAACAAACATCTTTCAGATGCATTTAAAGGAAAAGTCGCTCATATTCAGAATTCAAACTTCTGAAAGTTCTTTAAATCTGAAATGATTCCATCCTGTTCAATAAATGATCAGTGTTTTTAATTCAGAGTAATTTTCATGTGAATGTGCTTTACTGGAGGCATCCATGTTTGTCAAAGAACACTACTGCCACCTACTGGTTAGTGACATTGTCACGGTGCGGTATCGGCTGTTGATCAAGTCCCAGTGCTGTATCTGGTGTTTGTCACAACGCGCTATTATCCAAGTCATCTTGAAAACATTCTTCCTCCAAATGTTGGCTACATATTACGGGTTAGAAAATAGAAAGTAGAGAAAATGGAAAGTAATTCACTGTGAAATATTAATGTAGTAATTCTTTATTAAGACGATGATGCTGTCGTTCCTGTAGAGCTTGATGCATTTCTCATTTGAAAAAGTCATGAGCTGGAATATATTGCATGTTATATTGAGGGGGAAAAAGCTACCCATTTGACCCCTATATATATCGCTTACATGGAGCGCCATAACCAAATGGCTGGAATAGCATACAGGAACATCTGTGCAGAGTATGAGCTGGAAACCCCAAGGTCAAAGTGTGAAACACCTCCAAACATGGTAGAGAATGACCCAGCCAAGATCCTGTGGGACTTCCAGATACAGACGAACTGAATGGTAATGGCAAACCAACCGGACATTGTGGTGGTGGACAAAAAGCAGAGGAAAGCCGTTGTGGTTGCCATAGCGATACCAAGTGACTGCAACATCAGGAAAAAAGAAGATGAGAAACTAGAGAAATACCAGGGGCTCAGAGTAGAGCTGGAGAAAACCTGGAAGGTCAAGGCATCAGTGGTACCCGTGGTCATTGGGGCCCTCAGGGCAGTGGCCCCCAAACTCATATATTATTGAGTTATATATATATAACTCAATAACGAATATATAAATTATTAAAGTTATTCAATCACTGTATTGTGTGTGTTTGTGTTCGTGTGTGCATACATTTTTTCAAATATCAGCCGTAATTACCGCAACAATGTCATCAATCCATGTATATTACATGTATTTTTATGTATGTATGTATGATTTATAGACTTTATAATGAATCTGCAATGTGATGGGCCTATTTATTTTATTCTAAGTTAAAGCAATCTACTGATGCTATGAAACTGCCAGTCTGTGTCAAACTGATGACACAGACTTAAGTCTAAAGTCCCCCTGAAAATGAGAACATGATGCTGTAGCGCACAGATTGTTTACATTGCGACCGGTCTAACTAGGGAGTACCAATATGGCGGCCGGTGGCTTCACTTCAACGCTGTACTACCAACGGGCAATCAGCAATTCACTGAATGAACAGAGATCAGTGGTCGGCAGGGTTACCTCCGTTCACCAATCCGTAGAGCCACTCCGGTTCATGGACCAGGTCGCAGAGTGACGTCAGAGCCCGCAGCCTGCACGAGGCGTCTCTGTGCTGCAGCTGCTGAATCAGCAGCGGGAGGGCCAGGCGGCCGAACGGCACCGGAGCCCAGATCTGGTCCATTACAGCAAGCTGAAGCGCGTCCGTGAACCGACACTATGGTTGCCTAGTAACAGAGGGTAAACATTCCAGCTGCTGCGTGTGAATTCAAACAGGTCTACCCTTCGGCAGCTTTGTTACGCTCTGTTGCCTAGCAACCATGTCAGTTGGCACACACGCAGGGAAAGAACGAATACCGAACTTTCCAAACCGTTTATTTTTTATCTTTATCACAAAGTGAACAAAGACTTCTCTCATGAGAATCCAGAGTGGAATAAAGGTTCCAACCAGCGGGAGCAGGAACAAATCCAATCAAATGTAATGATAGAAACCTTAGTCAGTTAAATAACCTGCTGCTGTCATTCTGCACATCTCTGATGTTGCTGCTATTTTCAAATATCCATTACTGGAAAAATGTCCTGTTGTCAGAAAATCTCTCTTATTTCTTATATTAATTTTATCCTACTCAGTCTCTTTCACCTGCAAGGCCACACATTGCTCTGCATCAGGATGTTTGTAGACCAGACATGGCTGCTTCCCATAAAAAAAAATTCTTTCTCAAGGTTCATTCATAACATGTTACTGTTTAACCATTAAACAGCAACATGTGTCTGTAAATAGTTTTGACTCTGACTACTTTCCATTGATGTGCCATAAGGGCTGTATGATGAACTGTTATCTCTTTGCAAAGATATGATTAAAAAAAAAAGTGCAGACTGAGTGAAATCCAGCTATTTCTGTTTATTAAACTAGGATGAATAGTTGAATACTTTTTTCCCACTTCAATTTGGCATTGTCAAAGCAGGATTCTCCCTGAACGATTTTTCTGAGGAGAAGTGTCAGGAACCACCTGGAGGAAGCAGTCTTCCAGCCTCAATACCCCGTTAGCAGGTTAAGGGAGTGAGGACTTCTGGCATCGAGGTCCCTGGAGGTCAGCAGGAGGATCAAAACCAAACATTTTTGAGACAGTGAGATTAATGTTTTGTCGGCACAGTTTAAAGTAAATGTCAAAAACTAAATTACAAAACAACAGGTTGTTAACAGATTTAAAGATAATTAGAAATCAAATACAGGAAAATGAGCTCAAACAAAGTCCTCTTCTTCTCCATAAAAAATTATCAAATAAATAAATGTAATCTAACAAAAACTAAAATAAAAATCTAACTAAAGTAAAGATTAATAGGTTAATCTTTTCAAAAGGATTCCAGTTTGTGTGGGTTGTTTTTTGTGTTTTCCTCTGTCCACCACCAGGCGGTGCCCTGTCCTCGTGTTTTTCAATGTTTTTAAAGCAGAGGTCTTCAACAGGGGGTCCGTGACCCCTAGGGGGTCCGCAGAGGTACTGCATGGGGGTCGCAAAACTTTTGGTTGATTCATTTTATTTTTTTTATATTCCCTGCTGAATTGAAATGTCTTTAAATCCACATTAACATGAACTGAACAGACTGTAGTAAACAGATAAATGGAGGCAGAAGATGTCTTTCAGTCATCAATGCTCACATTCAGAGACACACAGGAGCTCTTTCAAGCTGGGCACCGTTTCATTCACAACACCTGTACCATCAACCAGAAATACTTTAATAATCCCAGGGAGGGATTACTTTAGTTACATTACTCCATCTGTAATAGAGTGACTATAGGACAGGGTTGATATAACACAATTTCATACAATATATATAATTAGGGGGTCCCAGCTCCATCTTGTCATCAGTTTGGGGGTCCTTGGCCTGGAAAAAGTTGAAGACCCCTGTTTTAAAGGATGAAAATGCTTAGATTTCAGTCATAAGAATTGCAGTTTGTAGCATCAGTGTTTTCACTAAATTCTTGAACTAAGCAGCTATAATGATAATTTATTTTACATTTAATTAGAATAGTATTTTCTTGATGTGTCTTGAAACCAGTAAGTATTTTAAAACCTTACCAGAAAGCAACGTGATACATTTGCTTTTACCTCAATAGCTTTTGTCTTCTACAGAGATCTTTATGGTAGATCTAAGCATTGTGTAAATCGTTTAATGATATGCAATTAAACCAAGCAAATTTGTTCTTTTTTTTTAATTCAAATGAACTTATAGAATAATAACAAAAATAACTAGATAAACCTTACAGAATCATGCGCTTTACTTTATTTTGTTTTACTTTGAAAAGAACTTGTCATTTGTCTGCGGCTCGTTGGCTGAGATACACTTTAATAACTTTAATAACTTTAATAACACTTTAATAACTTTACTTGACATGCCGAATGTCACAGTGAAAAGGTGCACTGTGTTAAACCCAGCCACCCTTTTTCCTACTGAGGAGGACGTCTTTCCACCTGGACTGTACACTGTTGATCTGGACTTATGCAGTTTTGCTTTTTGCCATAGATTATTGAAAGTTGCATCTGTGATGACTGTTATATCAGCACCAGTGTCAATTTTAAAGTTAACAGGACTACCATTCACCAGCAGTTTAATGTCCCAGTTGATGTCTTAATTTTGACTCCTCGATGACATTTGATAAACTATGAAGGGCCTTGAGATGACATGTGTTGTGAAATGGATGGAAATAAACTTAATTTTAATTGAAATTGACTTTGCTGCACTACAGAACACTTCAACAATAAAAAATGAATCCTTATCTGAGCATATAGCAGTTTCAGCTCGGACTTGTTTTAGCATTTTAGTTTTACTCATGGCTTCAAAATGTCCCATTTTATTACATTTTCTGCATCTTTATTTTGGGCAGGACAGTTTTCTGTCATGCATCCTATTGCATCTCTGACAGTTCTATGTATTTTCGCTGTATGTCTGTGCTTGTTTCTGCCATGGTCTCACAAAGCTCCTCTTTGTGCTGTTAAATTGTTTCTGTCTCACCTCATTCACTGTAGGTTCGACACGCTCTGCACTTTGCTGTTTCTTTGAAGTTTTTGAGAAACTTCCTTATCCATTATTCCAAAAATGATCCGGTCCCGAATCTACTCATCTGTCTAGGCGCCGAAATCGCAGATCTGTGCGAGCTCATATAAGCTCAGCATGAAGTTTCGACGTGACCCTGAAGCTGGTGAACCTCTGTTGTCAGATCAGCCACTCTGCAGGCTGTGTAAAGTCAAATGGCTCCGGAGGTCCAAACTTTGCCATTGTGCTCTCCATGAAGAAGTCCTTAAAGCTTAAACTTAAATTTTGCGTAAACAGTAGAACTCATCTCACGACATGTTCTGCACTAAATCGTTCAGTTTATTGATGCCACTTTTACTTAAGAACAATTCCTGCTATTCTATCCATATCTGCTTAACTCTGTTAAACTCAACTCAACTTTATATATAAAGCCCTTTAAAACAACCACAACTGCCACAAAGTGCTGTACATATCAGGTAAAGTTATAATTGTACAAAAACAGCAAAGACGTTTCAAGGAATAAAACAAATATAATGAAATTAGTTAATTAAAACAAATAAAACCAAATAAAAAAAAATAAAACAAACCACAAAACAGTCCCATGCTGTGTTAAAAGTCAAAGAAAGAAAAAAAGGTTTCAAGACGAGTTTTAAAAATAGACAGTGAAGAGGATTGTCTAATGAGGAGGAGGAGCAGCAACTGAAAAACCTCTGTCTCTGAGCTTCTGTTTGGACTTCAGCACCTCCAGCAGTGAAAGCTGGTCCCCACTAGGGGGAGGAGGCACTCTGCCTTGACACAACTCAAGTGGTGAAGAATCTAAGGAGGGTCAACCCAAGGAAGGCCCCAGGCTCCCATAACATAACTGGGTGTTCAAGGAGTGTGCAGATCAGCTGGCTGGTGTCCTCACAGACATTTTTAACACCTCGCTGGACCGATCCATAGTGCCAATATGCTTTAAGTGTGCCACAATCATTCCAGTCCCAAAGAAGCCTCAAGTCACCTCATTAAAAGCCTTCAGCTGATCCAAAATGCTGCAGCCAGAGTTCTGATGAAAATGAAAAAGAGAGATCATATCTCTCCTATCCTGGCTTCTCTTCATTGGCTTCCTGTTAAATCCAGAATATAATTTAAAATCCTCCTTCTCACATATAAAGCCTTAAATGGCCAAGCTCCATCTGATATCAGAGATCTGATTGTTCCTTATGTTCCTAACAGAGCACTTCGCTCTCAATCTGCAGGTTAACTAGTGGTTCCTAGAATTTCTAAAAGTAGAATGGGAGGCAGATCTTTTAGTTATCAGGCTCCTCTCCTGTGGAACCAACTACCAGTTTTAGTCCGTGAGGCAGACACCCTGTCTACTTTTAAGGCTAGGCTTAAAACTTTCCTTTTTGATAAAGCTTATAGTTAGGGTGGCTCAGGTTATCCTGAGCTATCTCTATAGTTCTGCTGCTATAGGCTTAGACTGCTGGAGGACATAGGGACCCCCATTTCATCATTCTGCTTCATTCTATCTCTATTCTCCCACTCTGCAGAATCTATTAGTTCAATCTCTAACGTTCTCTCCCTCCTTTTTCTCATAGTAGCTTCATCTGGTCTGTTCCTGTTTGGCTGTGACTCCATCCTGGAGAGAAATATCAGCTGTGCTGCTGCCATCAACACCTTTGTTTCTAGATGTCGGAGCTTGGCCTGTTTTCCAGTGTAGTCCTGTTTCTCTGACTGTGACTAACTGGATGTGCTCTCTTCATCCTCTGACATGGGAGCTGGCTCGGAGCTCGTCTGCCTGGCTGTGTGTTTCCTGGACGGGGCCGCCTGTGGAGCTGGTTGACAGTTGCCTTTTGTATCTATGCTTCTTTTTCTATGTCTGCTTCTGTCTCCTTGAACCCCAGTGGGCCTCAGCAGATGGCCGCTCACACTGAGCCTGGTTCTGCTGGAGGTTTCTTCCTGTTCAAAGGGAGTTTTTCCTCTCCACTGTCGCTACAAGCATGCTTAGTGTGAGGGATTGCTGAAGAGTCAATGAGTCGATGCAATCAGCTGGTTTTCCTTAGATAGAAAACTTTTAATCAATCTGACTGGATGATCTGGTTCAACTGGAAAGTGCCTTGAGATGACATGATGTGAATTAGAGCTATAGAAATAAACTGAATTGAATTGAATTTAATGATTAGCAGCCTGTCGCTCTGACTCCCATCATGATGAAGTGCTTCCAAAGGCTGGTTATAGAACACATCGTCTCCAGTCTGCCGCCAACATTCCACCCGTTCCTGTTTGTCTACTGACGGAACCGCTCCA